TACTATACTGAAGTTAGTTGGGTGGAAAAAAAAAAGGTCAAGTAGACGCCATCTATACAGACCTTATAGGCATTCGATTCTGTGGATCACAGACTTTTAGTTAGTAAACTCAATACTTTTGGTGTTAATGGCTGATTACTATCTTGGTAGTTGGTTTTCCTCCCGTTTAACAGGTAGGACTAACCTAACCTGACCCTGTATTGTTCACTCGTTTGCTCAGGCATTGAGTATGGATCCATAATTTAGAATCCTGACCAAATTGGCCTGGTTCAACGATTAAAATATAATGTTCAATCTTGTTTGATGGCTTATCATCACATAAACTTGGATTAAACGTTTCGGTCGACAACCGAAGACTCAAACTTCTTGATTTGCAATCTCTTTCTTCCAAGTAGAAAATTTAACGATAAATCACCACCTCAAAACAAGGAAATAGGTAACTTTAGGATATTTGGTGGTTGAGTATTCAATATAGGCAGGCACATAATTTAGGTACTATCCATTCCTAGGAAATCAGAACGCTGAATAAAATTGAATTTAAAGTGAAACATTGGCATAATTCTTTGACGAGCAAATACAAATGAGACATTTTCCATGCTGTTGGATAGCTGTATTTTAGAGAACAAAAAAATTGAAAAAAAATTACAACGCGTGATCATTATTTTTTTCTTAGCGATAATCGAACAGGAACTAATTACTCTTGAGCATTTTTTTTTTAAAGAACCAACTCAGTCTCTATATAGGTAGGACCATCCATCAGTCTTTCAAGTTTGATAGGTACCTCGTTACCTAGTCTTAATGATTTTTCTTTCTTTGTTAAGAATCAATTTTTTCCTTAGACTATTTTTGGTTGTTTTTCCTTTTAGCCCTTCTTTTGACTCATCTCATCGCGAGGAAGGTTGTCATAAAAAGCTGGAATGCCTTACGTTAACAAAGGTTTCAAGTCTTTATACTTATCCAAAGTTACTTTTCGAGGGCAATTAGTCTAGTGCATAGTGGTCAGCAAGCCGATTTCAAAAGAACTTAAATCATATTTAATTATTATTTTGGCTAGTTTAATTGGTTATATACTAATCTTACATATTTTACATCAGTTGCTGGAAATACAATTTTAAACGTTTATAATTTATAATTTATTTTTTCATAATTACTTAACGGGACAAGCTCACAGTTTACCCAGTAATTTCATCTAATTTACATTAGAAGAAAATAGACACAGGTTTTAGCATTTCGACAAATGCTCAAAATATCTCATTTAAACGCTTGTAACTGTTCTAATTTTAGTTTTTATCAAATTATTTTTAAACTATGTAATTGATGATCTTAAATAATTTCAATTAAGGGGGAAAACGCTTGTAAAGGGTGGTGGTGCAAGGGAATAGGCGATTTCATAATGTATTTAAATGCGAAATTGTTCATTTCTTTGATCCACTCTTTATAACAATCTGACGCTAATTATTATATGTCCTTTTATTATTTCCTGTTATTATTAAAATATAAAATGATAAGGTTAGAAGGAAAAAAATAAATTATAAAATCGCCCCCACGAGTAAACTTTCTCACCACTGTGCACAGTTAAAGTAAATTCATATTTTATTTATTTTGAGAAAAATCTTCAAAAACCCATTTCATTCAAGATTTGTTTCTTTAAATTCGACAATAGAATATAATAAATACCAACATAATATGATTATTCTAACACCCTACACTAGTTCACTGTTGAAAAGTAGCAATTTCGTATAGTGTTTCTTTTTGGAAACAATTTTATTTAGGTTACAATACAACATTAGCAAGCATTCCAAATTTTTATCTGTTTATTTTTATAAGATCAAAACATATTATCTAAACAAATTATCAAGTATCAATGAAATTATTACAAATAAACAATTTTTAAAATAAAATGGTTCATATAGTGTTAGTGAAAATGTTTATTGGTTAATGATAACTAGTTATGGATAATTTCTTTTAAAGTTAAAACGGTTGAGTAATGCGCGTAGCTTAAAATAATAATCTATGTATTTTTATGGTGTTAGCGGTTAACAATACCTAATATATAAGAGGGAAATGCATACAGTTTTTTGAAATATTAGGCAAATGAAAAAGAGGTTTCTATCTTGAATTAGGCAAATTGATTTTAAAAGATTCAGCTCTATTATGGGCAATTCACAGAATCATATAATAATTTGTATAAAAATTTCATAGCTAAACAATAACGTTTTCAAAAAAAAAAGCTATAAAATTGCAATTATATTAAGAGTAAACTAGTGTAGGCCGTTAAAAAAAATTGCCCAGTATACATAAGAAACTATTTATCAATAAAATATGACAGTTCTGTGTTCGTCCAAGTTTAAATATAGATTTTTTAAACATTTTTATAAGGTCGAATTTCAATAAATCAGTCTTATTTTCAGATCTCAAGTCCTAAAAATTTTAAAAGTAAAAAGTTTCCATCCCTCCTAGAGAAAAGTCTTCTATAAAATGTCTGCTTGCAATTAGTCTAGCGCACAGTGGTGAGCAAGCCAATTTTAAAAGGACTTATATTTAATTATTTCTTTGGCTAGTTCAATTGGTTGTATACTAGTCTTACATTTACAACATCGGTTGCTGGAAATACAATTTTAAAAGTTTATAATGTATTTTTTTATTATTACTTAACGGGACAAGCTCACAGTTTACTCAATAATTTTTGTCTAATTTACATTAGAAGAAAATAGACACAGAAATGCTCGAAATATCTCATTTAAACGCTTGTAACTGTTATATTTTTAGTTTGTATCAAATTATTTTTAAACTATGTAATTGATGATCTTAAATAATTTCAATTGAGGGGGAAAACGCTTGTAAAGGGTGGTGGTGCAAGGGAATGGGCGATTTCATAATGTATTTAAATGTAAAATTGTTCATTTCTTTGATCCACTCTTTATAACGATCTAGTGCTGATTTTATTATTTCCTGTAATTATTAAAATTATAAAATCGCCCACGAGTAAACTTTCGCACCACTGTGCACATATTTTTATACCATGCAGACTTGGTTAAAGTAAATTTATATAGTTCTATTGGTACTTCAAAAAACTTTAGGAACTAGATTTGCACAATTTTCCCGGTGCATATAGATTTTCATAGCGTAAAGCTATCGAGACCGATTTTTTTTAATTTGTTTTGTCAGCCGTCGCAGATGTATATAGAAAAATTATTGTTGTTGAAAGTCAAAAAAGTACACGAGAAAAGCCAGTATAGTACGGTCGGGGCATAGAGGGAGGACATCATATTAAAGAGGAGGGTGGGGGGTTCACAGACCAATAGAAATTTGTTTAACTGAAAGTGATAAACGGATCGAAACACCAAGTACAAACAAACGATTGGAGTTAGCCCCCCCTCGGTTTTTTTTTTTGAAAAATCACACTGCATGTCTGTACAACAATGAAAAGAATATTTGCCAAATTTTGAAAACTTTTCTAATATTTTTCATTCTTTAGAAAGCTGATTTAATTTTGCATAACATGCGTAAATTTCAAATTGGGTTCCCCATAAAGAAAGGCTTAAAATTACAATAAAAGAAGTGAAATTTCCTTTAACTGTCGAAAAACCGGAAAATTATCTACTTTTTAGACATAATTATTTAATTCATGTTGATTACTGTGGTGGTTTTCCGTTGAAAAAAAATTTTTCTATGAAATCAAAAATGTACATAAAAAATAATAGACACGGTGGAACAATTTTAAATACTTTACTCTCAAAACTGGTAAACGATATTTTTATGAAAAAAATGGTTTTGGAACAACTTTTTCCCTATAGTACAATAATCCAGACATAAATAGTATATATAATTGCAAACAAATCTCGCTTAAATTTGTAAATTTTAAAAATATTTAAATGGTTTTGTAAGTATCTCAAATTTAATAAAATTGCTATATAATGTAGCATTTTTTTTGTTTATAAATGTAGGTGCGTATAATGCATATTGCATTCGTGTTCAATTATTATTTGTAGGTTGTAACGGCCTTTTTTTTTAAATTTCTATAATCAAGTTGGTATATATTATAAAACGGTATAGACTTCATTGGGACACTTGTGTACGCAAAAAGTTATACCTACATGTTGATTTTCGAAATCCAGAAAATCACATGATAAGTTTACATTTTTTTCCGACTTGTAAGAGATATTCTTATAGACCTGCGATCCCCCTTCCCCCTCCCACCGATATGCACTGTTACCACTATGCCTTATCATCACCGTGCTGGCTTTTGTAATTTTGCTTTTAGTTTAAAACTTATTATACACGTCTTTTGTGGATAAAATATTACATTTATGCGCAATCACAAATGTTTTAGTCATAAGAAAAATATTAAACTATAAGACACGTGTACAAATAACAGACACGGTCGGTATACATTCAAATCTTTGGACCTATGTAATTTTTCCACGTTATATATTTGGTAGTATGAATATTCAAAATTGCGGTTGGAAAAAAATGAACTATAAACTTGAATACATTAGCAGTGGCGTTATCCACCGACATTTAAGCAGTCGATAATAAAGCACAATCTAATGAATCCCATAAAAATTTTCTATTCAGAGGTTATCCTCCCACAATTGTGGGTGGACCAGCCAAAGTTTTATTATTTTTTAAACGTCTTTGGCACGGGTTTTAAGAGTCAATTTATTCGTCATGTTTTGGGAGATAGAAATTGGAAGCAGTAAGAATAGTAGGGTAGGTAAATGGTTCAATACATTGTACACACCCTAACAAAGTTTAGTAAAGAATGCATTGAGTAATAAATAAGTTGGCACAACAAGGTCTCACAAACTAACCAATCGCTTATCTAGGGGTAGTAATGTATTTGAAAACTACTTAAGACCAATGTCAAATACTTAATAAACACTATTAAAAACTTTAAACATTTAAGGGTTTAAACTCTATACAACATGCTTTTATTTGCGCCTGTGCTGTTTTAACAGACAACCGTCGTTAAGGTTATATTGGAAAATTATTAAAAACATTAACAAAATCTCATAATTCGCATAGTTAGTTTATTGTACAATAGTTACTGTAATAAATTTTAGCATTGGATTATATATGTTATTATTATTTTAGATGTGTAAATGTATGTTTTTGATATCAGATCCCACTTTTATCGTGTTGGTCTTGAAGGGTCTGAAAAAAAAATACAACAATTTTAAAAAAACCGATATGACTTTGGTAATTGGTTGTTCCTAGTAAAAACCAAATGTATATTTTACAAGAAACCCTTCTTATTTTTTTTTAGATTACGCCATAACTTTACTATAACTAATATAGGAGTCGTAGTTCGTTTAAAGAATTCTATACTGCGATCCATGACGGAACGTCCGTGAAGTGCTCATAACTTATACTAATGATGCATAAGCAGTATCATAGCTAAAAAGTTTAGAGAGAGGCCAATAATTACTCCTGAATAAGTTGTGTATGTTGTTGTAACTTGAAATTCACGACCTTACTATTATGCCGACAGTACTTTACCATTATCATTCTGTATTAAGGTAGCGAAACATTTGAAACGTTTTTACTAAGAGAGTTTATGGATAAAATGATTTAAGAAAACCTTTGAAATGCCAGTAAAGATAGATTAGAGTAGGTAAGTAATTTAAGAGGGTTTGAATGATCTAAATTCTATATTAGACGTACCATTAGCCAACTGTTCTTATGATTATTTTGAAAACATTTTAAGATAAAAATAATAATAGGTGGCATACCGGTTCTGTATTCACGTACAAAGTCGTTCAAATTGTCTTCATCGCGAATCTGCAGCATGGCTATTTGTATGTTCCTGTTCTCATATGGTAGCGGCTGGCTATGGATGGTTTGTGTAACTTTCGTTTTAAATACGGATGTGCTAAAATATAATAATAATGTAATTATTAAAAAATTTTCAAAACGAAATATTCAAATTTTACTATAGTCAAAACATGTAGAAATAATATCGACTAGAATGTGTCCAAATAAAAATAACGAAAATTGTACTAATTTTTAGAGAAAAGCTTATTTGTTTTCAATTTTAGAAGATAAAGTTTTTCGAACAACTTGCATAACGATTTATCTAGATGAATATTTAGGTAACGTTTTATTCAAATGTCCAATCAATTATCTTGGATTGTCTACTCCTGGCAACTAATAGTATTTTTCAATGTACCCGGCCCAATTGCATAATTTTCGTCTCTCTAGTCTCCATTCCATTTAGCTACACTACCTCATCCCGATTTCCTTCTAATCGACAAGAGTTCGGTAAGTACCTCGACTACATCCCATTTTACTTCCCGGGAAGTCTTTCGAGTTCTGCATGTTACAATAAATATTTTGATATCATACTGTGCGTTGAAGTTGGTGCCGTAAATGTCTGCTGGGCTTCTATCATTTGACAACACCGTTGTTATACCAGAAATCTCGAATTCCGCATCCTCTACGAAGCAACCCGACTCCTCTATTGCGGCAAGTGCTGACGGTGTTTCCGGTATTGATTTTGTAATATCACTAATCAACACCTTTCGATCCTCGCCTTGCAATGTATCAAAATGCTTTAAAACTGCAGGGATAGGGACGTGGACGAATCCTCTTGTTAACGATTTGAATTTATTTAGAAAACTGTCGCCTTCCGGTGCGCACTTGTTCACGATAAAATTGTCGAACAATCGGACAGCCTCATTGAGAACACAAATGAGTTTTTTGAGAGTGTAGTTAATCGGTAGGTAAAATTCGTCTTTCCAGAACTTCGTGCTCATCACTTCGGAATAGACTTTGTACTTGATTTTTAAGCCGATCATCTTTTGAATGATTTCATCCCAAAAAAGGTGGATATTCTGTTTTGCTGGTTCATTAAATATGTGGTGGTTAAAAAATTGAAAGCTGCCATTAAATTTAAAATCAAGGTCCAAGTAATATCTCCCGAAATTAAGAAATAATTGCCATTTTTTAAATATTTCATTTTTAAATACTGCATCGGTATCGAGATGCGGGTCTTGTAGTTTCGCTTTTTGTATGGCTCCCCAAGTGTAGCGTTTGAACTCCAACAATTCCTGAACAATCAAAAATGTGGTGAAGCTCGCGTATTTCGATAATGTGCATTGATAAGCCAATTTGATTATGTCGCGGATCTTTAGAAATTCCGCCTCAGAACTGTTGTCAACATTTTGCTTAAAGTCGCGCACAGCGTTCCTAACGATAAAGGTGCTTTCTACGCCGTCGGGACCTTTGTAAGTTACACTTTCGCTCATTGCTGTGGCCCATTCTTCAATGGGGGTTTCACCGGTCAAAACTCGTTTTAGTCCTTCCAAATCTAATCTTTCGATCTTTGACAATATGCAATAGGCGCCGGAAAGACACAATAGAATCACACTAAAATGACTAATCATATTGTTAATGTTTTACTGACGTTGAATACTTGCTGTAGCTCAAGAAACACTAAAACGTTTTTGATCGTCGGCTTTAGCAGCCTGTAACGTTTTTAGAATATCTATATTACAATAAATTGTGTGGCCACAGCAGTTGGCTTCGTGAAAAAATACCAAATTCACCATGTAAATATATTTCACAGCGTTAAGTCACCACGATGAATCATTTTTTATTTGTATTGTCAGCCGTCGCAGGTGTATTAAAAATATAGTTCAATAACAGTCGACAAATTCTAACGATTCTCGACTCTTGATAAAAATTGCACCGTTTTCCAACAATCTTTACTCTATGTAATAAAAATCAAAAAAAGTTTCAAATACGTTTTCATAGCCGAGTAAACTACAAAGTTTCCAAGTACATACAAGTTTGCTTAACAAGGATTTAGTTTTAGCAATCTGTTATGTAATTGGAAACGTCAAAATAACATTTCTGGACGTAGGTCATTTTTTTCAGTTATTGACATTCTCATGTCTTAGCTCTGGCACATAACCGAAAAAAACGTTACCTCACGGAGATGGGGTTGGGGTGGGAATGTGGATGGGATGGGGATGAAGATGGGGTTGGGGTGGAAATGGGGGTGAGAATTAGCTTTGGCACATAACTGAAAAAAGCTTCTACTAAATGATATAAGAACTGGTATAAGAATTAAATGATAAATTCAAATAAAATAGTTTAAGGGCTGAAATTCTCTATGAATTGTATTGAACCAGATACTAAACACTACAATATTAGCCAGAAACTTGACGTTTTAATATACTAGCCTGTTACTGCTTCGTAATATACTGTATCATTATCTATAATTCCACCACTACTCTAAATGTATCTCGGTCCTTCGACGAGACATGAAAATGCTCTTTCGTGGTTGCAGACTCGGCTGAAAAACTTTTTTTTTTCCAAGGTGATATATACGATATTGGGGATGGGCCGATACCATTTTTTTACCGATACCCGAAACTACACCAACGACTACAATTTATGTTGAAATAACCTACACTATTATTGGTAGCAAACAACATACATATTAATTATTGATTCGTACATTAGACGTGGAATTCAATATGTTAAACACAAATGGCAGTTGTAGTATAATTAGAGATACTTTTAATCAGACTGGAGCCCTCAAGTCCATTGTAATCGGTCAATTATACATATGTCACCAAAAAACAAAAATGTAGGTACCGAATTTCACAGTTCACCCGGTATATATATTTTGTATCGTCAAGCTACTAAGACGAATATTTTTTTATTTGTATTGTCAGCCGTCGCAGATGTATAGAAAGTATAGTTTTATAACAGTCAACACAAGTGCCACCGATTGTTAGATTCCTTATGAAAATTTCACATTTTTACCACAATCGTTATTCTATGTAATAAATATCAAATATAATCGTAGAAAATTTGTCTAAATTATTCTTATTCGAAAACTTCGTCGAATGTACTGATAAAAAAAGTACAAAAAAAAAAAGTCATTATAGTTTGGTCGCTCACAAAGGGAACAGAGCATATTGGAGGGGGTAGTTCATATTATAACTAGTATCTTAGGCCTTCGAAAAAAAAAATAGTATCTTATGCAAAATAGTCTCAACTTTCTAAGAAAATATTTGTTTATTTTATCGAGCAACAGAAAGTCGTTCAAAATGAGTTTATAATACAAAAATTTAGTTTTATCGCGTTGCCCAAATTTTGTGCATTTTTAAAATATTTTTTCCCAAAACTTTGATAATTTTACGTAGAACGTGTAAATTTCGAATTGGCTCAATAAAAACTCTTAGAAATTCAAAACATATTATCCAAACAAAATATTATCAAGTCTCGATGAATTTATTACAAATAAACAATTTTCAAAATAAAATGGTTCAGGAGATAGTTTTAGTGTAAAATATGTTGACTGGTTGATGATAACTAGTTTTGGATACATTCTTTTAAAGTTAAAGGGGTTGAGTAATGCGCGCAGATTAAAATATTAATACATTCCACCCTACTCGCAGTCCTAAATTTCACTAACTTTGATAACTGTAAAACTATTTATTCCAAATTGGTTATCGACCAGTCACAATTTTCATCAAATTATTTTCAATGAAAACATTTAATGAAATTTATACGTTACCGTTTTTAATTTCAAGAGTCTAGAGCCCATTGGAAAATGTAAAAAAAAGATAAACATTTGAAAATTATAATAAATTTGTTTGATCTTTGAGTAACGAATGAAAAAATCAATATTTGTTTTATGTTCTTAGCGGTTAAAATTACCTAATATAAAAGAGGGAAATGCATAAGGCTTATTGAATTATTAGGCAAATGAAAAAGAGGTTTCTATCTTGAATTAGGTAAATTGATTTTAAAAGATTCAGCTCTATTATGGGCTATTCGCAGAATTGTATAATAATTTGTGTAAACATTTCGTAGTTAAACAAAAACGTTTTCAAAAAAAAAAAAGCTATAAAATTGCAATTTTAAGAGTAAACTAGTGTAGACCGTTAAAAAAAATTGCCCGGTATACATAAGAAACTATTAATCAAAAAAATATGACAATTCTGTGTGTGTCCAAGTTAAAATATAGATTTTTTAAACAACTTTATAAGGTTCAATTTCAACCAATCAGGATCATTTTCAGATCTCAAGGCTTAAAAATTTTAAAAGTAAAAAGTTTCCATCCCTCCTAGAGAAAAGTCTTCTATAAAATGTCTGCATACAGGTATTAGTCTAGCGCACAGTGGTGAGCAAGCCGATTTTAAAAGGACTTCTATTTAATTATTTCTTTGGCTAGTTTAATTGGTTAGTAAAGTAATCTTAAATTAACTACATCAGTTGCTGGAAATACAATTTTAAACGTTTATAATGTATAATTTATTTATTTATTATTACTTAACAGGACAAGCTCACAGCTTACCCAGTAATCTAATCTAATTTAAATTTGAAGAAAATGGGCATAAAAATGCTTGAAATGTCCCATTCAAACGCTTGTAGTTGTTCTTATTTTAGTTTGTATCTAATTATATTTAAACTATATAATTTTCGAGCTTAAATATTTCCAAAAAAAGAGTAAAAACAAAAAAACAATTGTAAAGGGCGGTGCAAGGGAATAAACGGTTTTACAATGTGTTAAAATAGTAGAACCGTTCGTTGCCGTTGCTCCAACCTTTATAACAAACTGACGGTAGTTTTTATAGTTCCTTTTATTATTTTCTGAACTAAAAAAATAATAAAATATAAGATTACAAGGTTAGAAGGAAAGAAAATATTAAAATCGTCCAATAATAAACAGCTTTCTCACCTCTGTACAGCGGTAAAAGAGTAGTAGTTTCTTGCTATACACATACTGCAATTGACAATTTTGAATTTCGAATTTATACTATTGGTGTTAATTATTACTAAGATGTTAATGTATAGTATTACTGTAGTTATGGGCTTATTTAAATATTTTGTATTGTTATAATAAACATATAATTTCAAACACAACCCGGAAAAGTAGTCAAAGCGAACTCGTATCTTTATAAAATTGAAATCAGACCATTTTAAGAAGCGAAAACTTTATCAAGTTTTTTGGTATAAAACTTTCAAAATAAATTTTCAGTATAGCACTGACAACTGTTATGATATTGATTGCGTTTTTCCCAGCTAACAATATATCAGACATTAGTTGATACTAAAAACATACTGTATACAAAACCAAAACACTGAATAAAATTTTGTACTAAAACGGGATATTAAAATGGGATTTCCAAGTTACTTTTGGTCAAGTTGACCAATACATTTTAATAATATGGAATTTACATCTACTGATCTTTACAATTCACTCGAAAGCTTAATTTTTGTTTTATTATCTTTGCGGTTCTATAACAGCGCGGCGCGGTAGCTTATCAACAACCATGTAACATTTTCTGCATATATTAGTATAAAATTAAGGACGGCAAGGGAAATGCGGTTGAGTAGCGCACTTAGATGTCTATTTGAAAATTTTATAAATTATTTTATGTTTTTAATGTTTATATAAAAATAATAAATTTGGAAGGGGGTTAAAACATGGAAATTTGTGAAAATCGAGAACAAGTTGTATGAAAACACAATGAAAAATACAAATTCAATAACTCATTATACCATATGACGTAAATCGAGTGGATCACTTAGAAATAAAACACATAAAAAAGGGTTAAGCAACACTTGGGGACATATAGGTAAAGTAAAGAATAAAATAAAAGCTAACCGCCTCATATTATACCTATACAGTAGTATCATACCGAAAATTAGTTATTAAGTTTCGACATTGCCACTGATAATGCTAAAGTGTATTACTTGATGCGGTTAAGGGGTTTTCAAATATTTCATAATTATATTCTTTAATGTAGTTAAGTTAGTGGCGCTGTGACATCCCAGTGGATAGGGGATCAGAATACTTCCAAGGAACCCGTCCGCCTGTCGTAAGAGGCGACTAAGGGGCTGATTTCTACAGGATCACTTCTCTTGAGACTACAAAGGCGTACTTTTACAGGTGTACAAGAGTACACCTGTTTCTAGGATAATTTGAAAAATATAAATAAGACATCTTTAAAGTAAAGAATCGTTACAGTGAATTAATTAAATATTTAATTATGTTATAACGAAAAGTACAATCTACTTAATAAAATTATGGTTTGGTTAGATACAATCATCATTTGATGATACCTTTTGGTCTTACCTTATACATTATTAAAACAACAAATTATTTATACAGTCGATAAACACATTTTATAGCATTTTGTTTTAAGACTATACAAAATAGTTGAGGGGTGGCATTACTAATGAAGTAATTATAGTAGTAATTGTTGAAAAATTGATTTCTGATAGCTTAGATGTTACTAACATTTTAGTTACAAGAGGAAGTAATTAATACAACTTTAAGTCATACTTTTTATTGGAAATATGTCTTAGGTAACGTTAAGAATAAAATAAAGGTAAACAACCTCATACCTATACCTATACAGCAGTATCATACCGAAAATTAGTTTTATAGTGGACTCAAGTCCCAGTTTAACAAATTGCTTTTATTTCTTAATATATTATAATGTTTCGACATTGCTATCGAAAATGCTAAAGTGTATTACTTGATGCGGTTAACGGGGTTTTCAAATATTGCATAGTTATATTTTTTAATGTAGTTAAGTTAGTGGCGCTGTGACATCCCAGTGGATAGGGGATCAGAATTCTTCCAAGGACCTGGTCCGCCTGTCGTAAGAGGCGACTAAGAGGCTGATTTCTACAGGATCACTTCTCTTGAGACTACAAAGGCCAAGAGTACACCTGTGTCTAGGATAATTTGAAAAATATAAATAAAATATCTTTACTCTTTCTAAACCTCAGACTTTTCCCTTGAAGCTCTTCTTTCCAATCTTTAAGTCTCTTACCTAAATTCCTCCAGCCTTCCCACCATAAACACTATGTTATCCGCAATTATCATACATCAAAGCACCTCCCCCTATATATATCTTTCGTAATCTCGTCCATTACTAAAGAGAACAAGTAAGGACTCAACGCTAAACCATGATGCGCACCTCCTCTTACACTAAAATGTTCCGTTTCTCCACACACACCCCTCACTTTTGTACTTGCCTTTCATACATATATTAGTAAATTTGATAAAATACCATTCAAGTTTCAAAAGTTGATATGAAAATAATTAATTCCAAAGGCGGTTGAAACGTGCAAATTTGTGAAAATTGATATCAGGTTTTATGAAAAGACAAAAAAAAATTCAATAACTAATTATACCATATATGCTATCGAGTGACTCACTTTTGAAAAAACATGTACAAAATGGGGTTAAGCGGCACTTGGGGTTATACAAATATAGTAAAGAATAAAATAAAAGCAAACAACCTCATACCTATACCTATACAGCTATATCATACCGAAAATTAGTTTTATAGTGGACTCAAGTCCCAGTTTAACAAATTGTTTTTATTTCTTAATATATTATTATGTTTCGACATTGCTACCGAATATGCTAATGTGTATTGCTTGATGCGGTTAAGGGTTTTTCAAATATTATATTCTTTAGTGTAGTTAAGTTAGTGGCGCTGTGACATATACAGCAGTATCATACCGAAAGTGATGACTCATCGTCAACTTGTATTTTTACAAAATTAAGTAATAATAGATAGTTTTGTAGTGGACTTAAGTTCCAGTTTAACAAATTGGTTTTATTTCTTAATTTATTATGTTTCCATATTTGCTACCGACTATACGTGTACGCTAAAGTGTATTACTTATAACTATTATATATTATATAAACTGTATAACTTATTATATATTAACATATTATTATGTTTTGACATTGTTACAGAACATGTCATAATTATATTATTTAATGTAGTTAAGTTAGTGGCGCTGTGACATTCCAGTGGATAAGGGATCAGAATTCTTACAAGGACCTTGCCCGCCTGTCGTAAGAGGCGACTAAGAGGCTGATTTCTACAGGATCACTTCTCTTGAGACCACAACGGCCAAGGGTACACCTGTTTCTAGGATAATCTAAAAATGTTATACATATATTAGTATAAAATTAAGGACGGGAAAGTAATTTCGGTTGAGTAGCGCACTTAGATGTCTATTTGAAAATTTTATAAATTATTTTATGTTTTTAATGTTTAAATGAAAATAATAAATTTGGAAGGGGGTTAAAACATGGAACTTTGTGAAAATTGAGATCAAGTTGTATGAAAACACAATGAAAAATACAAATTCAATAACCAATTATACCATTTATGCTATCGAGTGGGTCACTTAAAAAATGGGGTTAAACAACACTTGGGGTTATACAAATATAGTAAAGAATAAAATAAAGGCAAACAACCTCATACCTGTACCTATACAGCAAAATCATACCGAAAATTAATATTATAGTGGACTCAAGTCCCAGTTTAACAAATTGTTTTTATTTCTTAATATATTATTATGTTTCAACATTGTTACAGAATATGCTAGTGTATTACTTGATGCGGTTAAGGGTTTTTCAAACCTTTCATAATTATATCCAATGACCTCGCCCGACTGTCCTAAAAGGCTGATTTCTACAGGATCACTTCTCTTGTGACCACAAAGGCCAAGAGAACACCTGTTTCAAGGATAATAAAAAAAAAAATAAAAAAAACACCTTTAAAGTAAAGAATCGTTACAGTGAATTAATTAAATATTTAACTTTAATATAACGATAATGTGATAACTGGCTAGGGTGATTTTAGCGAAAACCGGAAACACCTTTATCGAGCTTATTAACACTAGGTATAAAAAAAATATGTACCTTTAACACGGGTGTGATGGAATATACACACTCAACAAAAATGACAATCTATCTAATAAAAATAGGGTTTGGTTAGATACAATCATCATTTGATGATACCTTTTGGTCTTACCTTATATATTTTTAAAATAACAAATTATTTATACAGTCGATTAACAAATTTTACACCACAGTAAATAATATGATATATATATATATACATTAGTATTTTGTTTTATGACTATACAAAATAATTAAATAATTGAGGAGTGGCATTACTAATGCAGTAATTATAGAAGTAATTTTTAAAAAATTGATTTCTGATAGCTTAGATGTTACTAACTATTTTAGTTACAAGAGGAAGTAATTAATACAATTTTAAGTCATACTTTTTATTGGAAAATATGTCTTAACATGGTTATGTTTTTGGGCTGGGATTCGTTGTCTCGCTAACTGACAACAAATGAGCGTTTCTTGAATACATATTAAGTAAATATTACATACTCACCGTAAGTACATGAGCTTAACTCATGTATACAACGAGTCTTTAACTTAGAGAAAAAAAAGGCTTGAATAAACTAGGAAAGCATTGTAATTAACTATTTTCAGGCATACTCATAATTTGATGAAGAACAAATTGAATACCTACTATACCAATCTTACTTGTTGGTGTCATTTAATGTCGACTTGAAGAGTACGGGTGGAGCTCGGTTAGGCAAGTTCATGCAAGGAACTTCAATCTCTAACTGAATACTGATCCATCCATCTCAACCACGTCAAACATTTGTATAATAATTTTCTCCACTATTTGTATTTTGTATGCTTTATAAATTAATAATTGTGTTACAGAATAACTAAAAAATATTGTTTTTATTTTAACAATTTTAATAAATCATCTTATCGACAGCCACTTACATAGTTTGTATCAATAGAATGAATACATCATGCTATTGAGTCATAGGATTTGTTTCTTTAGCCTTCTGAGCCTTACTTCCTATTCTTCTGTTAAATAACCTAAGTTTATATTTCTATTCCAGTCCTGGTTTCACCTCCAACAGGTCTCGCTTAACTGTACCTAGCCTTCTGTCTGGTTTACAAATACCAGTACCACGTTAATCTTGAGCTTTCCAGGTAGTTGAAACTGTTCATTTTTACAATTTGTACGAATAATTAAAAATACACATTAACTGAATTGTAAAACATTTTTAAAACAAATAATAATAACCACGTTTATATTTTGTGAAATGTGTGTTTCAGGATAGTAAATGAATGGGCGTTCAACGCATCTGCATTAACTATAGTTTGTACTATTCAAATCAAACCCAAAAATACACATCTCAAAAACACATACGCTTGAGTGAATTATAAAACAATTTTAAATAACTAATAATAACCACGTTTGTGTTTTGTCAAAATTTTAGTTTCAGGTTAATAAATGAATCAACGCATCTGCATTTTCGAATACACAAAGTAATAGTTTAAACCGATTAACTGAACCTAATGTCCAAATGTAACACACAAGTAAAGCCACATAATTGACTTTTAATTTTTACTGTCAACATATTTTATTGTATTTTAAACATGTTTTACATTTATAGCTATTATATATATATATATAAGATAAGATTAACTAACTTAGCAATTGTTTGCAATAATTGTAAAACTCTTTTTTTTTTGTATTACTTATCAGTCGTATTACTTGTTTTGGCTTGTGTCCGCTTGACTTACAGGTGTTCTCCGATCCAGGTAAAATTCTAGTACATTATAATAATATAATTAACTATAAGTATGTGTGTTTTCCATAATCTCAATTGGCCAAATGAGATTCATGTCGATCACTTCAAAATCAAAATGGTCGCATAAATCTTCCGTTATTATGAATTAGACATTACACAATAATCTGAATGGTATCAAAGGTAAATGTCGTCTAGACGAACCCAAGTCGAATCGACCATTGTCTGTTTTCGACACTAGCATAAAACCCCATCATAATAAACTAAATGTGAAAATGAAGTGAAAATGTATAAAAATGTGTTTTATTAATTACTTGTTATATATAATACATATTTTTTTATTTATTATTAGGTGATACATTTTAAAAATGCAAAACAGATGAAAAAAAAGAATTGATTTAAAAAAATTTCAAATTCATCATTCTTACTAATTATTAATTATAGAACATGATTTTTTTGTAAAATTTATCATTACAGTACAAGTATGAAGGTGAACTCTAAGAAGTCGGTGTCGTACACTAATGAATGTTCAACAGATGATGAAAAAGTGAAGCCATTCTCTTCGATCTTCGATAACGGATATTATAAGGTACTATGATCGATTAAAGTTCAATTTGTACGATTATGTTTAATAACATAATGTACTATAATTTTTGTTACAGACAAATTTTGATCTAATGAAAACAAAGCATTATCTGATGCCACGTCATCGTGCAATGTACGACGAGCCTCAGCAGGTAGTTAACTGTGTATCAATAGTACTAAAATTATAAAAGCCAACAAGTTTGGATGGGGTGAATTTCAGCAATGGTTTTGTAAGGAGTTCATAATAATAATTATTAAGAAAATATTCTGCAGATTTCGAAAAACGTTGAACTGTTTGAGTCTATAACAACACATTTTTTATGTTAGCTTAGTTTGTATAGTATTCAAGGGTAGACTGATTATAATAAACTTATTATTATTCACATATACATTAACCACATAGTTTTATCGACAGCTACCGGATTACTACTCTATGCAAGGCACCTCTAACTCAACACCGCAAAGTGACAGCTTCACGATTGATATTGAACAAGAAGAAACGTCTTTCTCCATGATCGCCAAAAACCAAGATTTTGGACGCTTCAACGCGGACAACAATGTAAGCTTGTTATTATTGTTCAATTCGTGTGATACATTTCTGAAAATATTGTTTTTTTTTATCACAGAACAACGAAATTTCGAAACCAGTTGGCGTTCAAATAGAACCGGATTATTATTCGCCGCCAAATCCTCAAGAAATGAATGATGAAAATTTGCCCATAGACTTGTCTTGGACGAGCAAAGCAACAACAGATGAAAAAAAGAAGGTACAAATAACTCTTTTTGTCAAATTTAACTAAACAACGTCTTGAGAATTGATAAGAAAAAATTATGATTACAGCCCAAACAACGTCGAGCTCGGAACACGTTGCGCCGCAATCCGCCATTGGGAATGATACCGAGAGATTGGAAATACAGAACTTTATACTACACAAATTGCGGTAAGTACTTAAAATAGCATTTAACGCCTATTGAAGTATCGCGTTAGCTGCTAGTAATTATCAAAAGACAATTTGCTACTTTGAAAAGTTAAACACCGTCATGATAAACTGATATTAGTTATTTATGTGTCCCCAAATTACAAGTAAAAACCCCCATTTTTAAAAAAGGGCTGGGAAGTCATACCCATTGTATATATTAATGACTTTTGAACAAAAATATTAATTGCTAACAGAAAATCCCCCCAAAAAAATATAGGTGTTCCCGTTTAAATTTTAAAAGTTGATACCACGCATGCGCAAACTACTTAAGGTGGAATTTTCTATTTAAGCGTTAAATGTGCATATCAAATAATAACACCTAACGACATCCAGCTGTTCTAAAAATTGCTGGTCGCCGAACTTGTTGAACACCCTGTATACATTTAATATCATTGTCAAAGTGCAGAGACTTTAACGTGTCAGGATTATTTGAGGCGCTCAGAAGCCAAACTGATTAAGGCGCGGTTTTTCAATTGCATTTAACTGACAGTATGACTTAACTGTTGGTTAACGTTATCTTCCAGTTAAACTACTAATGAAGTTCCAGTTAAGCTAACCGACAGTTTTAACTCCCAGTTAAATTAACTGCTACTATTTCTATCGGTTAATAGATTAATCAACGGTTATAATCCTTCGTGCAATTATTTTTTACAATAAAATAGCTTGAAAAGTTATCGGTTTTTTTAATTTAAGACTAATTTTAAAAATGAAATGTTGTTCTATGACGATGGTGAAGAATATTTGGAATATTTTAAATTATCAACGTAGACTGTATGTTGTCCGTGAAAGGGTTGATCATTTTAATAAATGGGACAATTATGATTTTAAAGTACGCTTTAACAACGAATAAAAAAAAAAGCCAGTATAGTGGGGTCCGGGGCATAGTGGGGACGGAGAGGTCACAAGTCTACAGATTTTATTATAACTGAAAGTGATAAAACCGCTTTTAAATAAACGCTTCGATGCGAATCTGTGGATAGTGTGTTCAAACCAGTTATAGCGGTTTAGAAGATATCGTGGGACCAGCAATAATGTACTTAAAATTTAATATTTAGTCTTATGCAGGGTAGATACGATAAGGGTTGATCGTCTGTCTATAAAAATGTATTGCCATAAAATGAAAAATTTGTAATTTTTTTAGGCGTTTTTCTCGAATTTGATGGGGAAGGGGTAACTTTTTTAATTTTTGGCCCGTTAAAGTACCTTCCGGGTATGATTTCTGATCTATAAAGTTGCTACACGAAGAAATCGGTTCGGCGGTTTACGAGATATCGTGGGTCCAGACACAAAAATAAATAATAAAAAAATAAAAACACATCATTGTAAAAACAATACCTTCTCAGCTCCGCATCGAAGCTAAAAAAAAATTACCTATGACAAATAAAAAAAAAGTTTTTTTTTAGATAATTAAATTTTATTTAATTATTCTATATTTAAATTTATCTAAAATATACTTACTATTACAATAAACAAATATAATTTAGAACTAAGGTAAAGTGAATATTAATTTTTAAAAGTGAAAAAAATATATAAATATTTAATATGTTTATATTTGTAAAAAAAAAAAAAAAATTCAGATAAAAATTATTTTAAATCTTGTTTTGTAGCGAACTATACATAAAGGTGTTATTGATAATTAGTTAACAGTAATTATTTTTCAATTCAGCTAAAGTTTGTCGACCTTCTTATTTTCATCATGATTCGTCAATTTACGTCAATTAAAAAATGGTAATGCTATATAAATAATCAGCTAAATTTAAATTTTCGTTATTTTCATAATTGTTGTTTGTCTGGTATAACAGATGTTAATTGATAAGTAAAAAATCACTGATGAACAATTATTACACGATAACATACAATTTTTTGCAGTATAACCACTTTTAAAATATATTTAATTCGCGACTAACCTCCAGTTAATTAACCGAGACAGCGTTTTAACCAGCGGATTAAAGTAACTGGTGATTAGCTAACTGGCAGCTAATATTTCAATTTGAAAAACCGGGCCTAACTGGATAAAATGAAATTTTTCAAGACAGGCAGTTAAAAGCAATTTGAAACAATGTATGCGAGCACAATTGCCAATGTACTCTGCGCAGTGGTGAATAATTCAACTATGCAGTTGTTTATCCAACCATACTATTATTCGCAATTTGAAAAAAAACGTAGTTAATCGGTTTGGCATCTGAGCGCAGACACTGAAATGTTATCATGAAATTCTCAACTGCCTTGATTTTTCTCGATTGTCTCGATATTCCCCATATTGATACCAGCCAATGTGTATTGTAGAGGGCCAGCGCATTCGTGTGCCGTTCAACCAGCAAGCTATTTTCAAGACGCACGTTTCCAAGCCCGGCATGTTCTATTGCACCATCTGCCAGAAATGGGTGCGAAGCCGTTGGCACCATTATCAGACCCATTTCTGCAGGGACCACGAGTGCCTTATCTGTGGCGCCGTGTACAGCCGCATCGACACGCTCAAACAGCACATCAAACGCTTACACCGCGCTCCGCCGGCTGACTTGGTGCCCCAGACAAACTTCATGGCACGGCCTCCTAATGTGGGCATCGTTCGCCCCACCCCGGTACGCCGCCAGGTGTACAGCGACCCCTACGACGCCTTTTTGGCGAGCCCGTTTTTTCCCTATTGTAGATGCGGCTATTCGCGCATTGAATGACTAAACCCTCGTCCCGTCTGGATCACTTGGATCGTTTCAATCGTCTTGTTTGTGCTGTTGCTTGTATTGTTGTTAGCATACCTATTTACCAAGCACAAGTTGCTTTAAAATGTAAATGCCCCCCCCCCCCAGATCATAACTGCAACCAAATCTTACAGTCATAATTCTTCTTCTTCTTTATCTTCGCCTTACACTCCCAGCTACACGGGGTCGGCCACCCTAGTCCTATACCTCCATAGAACTCGGTCTTCCATGTCTATATCACTCTGTATTCCGTCCACCCATCTTTTCTTTGGTCTACCTCTTCCTCTTTTGCCCTCTACATTCATCTTCATAACACCTCTCACTGCCTCAACTTATTCTCTCTCATTTTCTCCACAACTGATGCAACTCCTAGGCTACCCCTAAGGTATCCATTTCTTATGCTATCTTCCCTAATCACTCCAATCGTCTATCTTAACATTCTCATCTCCGTTACACTCATACTCTGTTCCGTTTTCTTATCTACTGCCCAACATAACAGACATAATTTAATGTCTATTAAATATACTTCTGCATCTGGAGGGGTGGTACAGTTGAAAGATTAGCTTTGTTTAGTTGTAAGCCATAGGTTTAACTTAATATTAATAATTATACTTAGTATAAACTATTTATAGATATTATGTATACATATTTAATCGTAATAATTAGCTATGTAATCATCGGTTGTAAGTCATAGTTTTAGATTTAGTCATAATAATAATAATGTAGTCCCAATTTTCGTTTGTTGTTTATTACTTTTTATTTTAAACATTTTATTCTTCGCCGGTTTATGAAAAAACCGAGCGACATAAAAAAAAACACCAAACTTAGTATTTAATATATCGAATATTATTAACGTTAATATCGATATTTATTTAATAAATAGTTTTAAGTTTTTAAAAATTAATTAACTTTTAAACTTAACTTTAGGGTTATATTAAATAATAATAAAAGTAACGTTTAATGTAATTTTAAATACTTCATAAGTTCCAAGTGTAGGAATCCCACGTGCATGCTATTCTAAATTAAATATTAAATGATTTTCAATGAATATATAATAGTTCATTAAATCGTATTAAATACAGTCTCCTATCATTTAATGTTAGTATAATATTAATATAGCTTGTTACTGGATTGAACAATCCAGTTGATAGGTTTATACATTATTTAAGTTATCTAAATTTAAATATTTTATTATTATTATTATTAATATATATACATATAATATAAAGTCCATAAAGCTTAACAGCTTGTCCGCAACAAGTCCCTTTTTATTTAATGACACACGGTAATGTTCTGTGAGGTCTGTAACTTAAGTAGTAAAAGCTAAACCACTTATTGTAATTAAGTTTAAGATAGCTATATTATAGTAAAAGAGTTAGAAAAATAGTCGTTTTATCTGTTATTAACTATATTATACTAAACTATATACTCTATATTATACTATATTATATACTCTATATTATACTAAATTATATACTCATTACATTATAATCGTATACCATATATTTAATAATTAAATATTATAATCATTTTATTCGATACTTAAAACTCTAAAGATTTTTGCATTTTTAAAAATTATAAATATATATAACTACTACTGTAATCTTATTCTATCTCGCTTTTTTGACGCCATTTGAAATTTGGCCCTCTGTTGGAGGAAAATTAAATTAAATTAATTATTAAAAAGTGTATTAAATATATTATTATTATATTCTATTGTATGCTAGTAGATCAAGTAGAAGAATATTATATTATTGTATTTCATTGTGTGCCAGTAGATGTAGTAGAAGAATATTATATTATTGTTATTAATCACCATTATATTATATCAATCTATGTAGTCGAATTGAATGTTTTATTTAAATAAAAAATGTAGTTTGTAGTATTTATCTTGTTTTTTTATTCGCTACGCATTGACCTAGGGTTCCTATATATTTTAAGCTATTAAAATAATAATTATATTTATTCAAAAAGCAAAATCAATATTAATATCTACCGCAAGGGTACTTTATACATGGTGCTTTTTTTAAAACACAATATCTCATAGTAGTATTTTTATTTTTATTTTTCATAGTGTAAAGTTAAAATCTGTAAAAAAAATGAGAACACATCAGATTAAAA